ACTCAGTAACCATTAAAGTAGACCCCATTCTACCAAAGAATCAATGACATGGGCTCAGTTTAGGGTCAGGGTCCTACTCATTGAACAGGATATAGAGAAGCATGACATAGTAATTCCTTCCATGGTGTATTCCGATATGACGCACATTATCTCAACCACTTGTATCTACGTCTACTTCTCTGTGATGCTAACAAAGCAAGATTACAACTCACTCTGGTTCCTGGAGCCCAGCAGAAATAGTCTTCTCCACTTTTTCCTCTGTTGCTCCCTGGTGTTGGACTGTCCAGGTGAAAAAGGAAACATTCTGAGGGACAGTCCTTAGTTGTGCAGAAGATAATCCTGACTGGAGCAGGTTCTTTCCTCTTCAAGACCATTTTCCAATTTCCCTTTGATGGAGGCATTCTGGAGACCGGGTGTGAAACCAACTTTGTTAGTCATCAATGAGGGGATCGTATCTCTGGCTGGTACATGTTGTACCACTGCAATCACACTGTATCTCATTGTTTAAAAGTACCCTTGTTCTTCATATTTGAAAGACAGTCGGTAAAGATAACCACTTTATCTTCTGGGCAACACATTAAAAAGTAAAGTCAAGCCACATGGTTTTGGATGGGAGGCAAAAGGTCAAATAGGAAAGCTAACCTTTAGCAGAACGACTGGTGCAAGTAGCAGAGGCTGAGAGTAATAAATAGAGACCCCCTCCAGGGGTTTCCAGATGCAAACTTTTGGCTCCATGCAGCTTGAGGGGGCAGCAAGTGGAACTGTACATCACTGAACTAAAATACAATTGTATGTGTTGAAGAGTAAGTGGCACAGAGATAGTCGAGTCTTGGCTTCTGACCTCTTCTGCTGAAGTCAGACTTTGATTTTGGCATGGAAAGACCTGGAATAGAGATTCTGTGGGCAGAATGGTGGCGCCTGATCTGTGTGCAGGCCACAGAGCCTCTTCTTCCTCTTTATGTTCTTGTCCCTCTTTGTCCCCCTAACATTTATGCCTAGAGTTTCTACTGACTGGAGCATTCTCTGTCTTTCCAACTCCTCTGCTTTGCCTACTTCAGATTTCAGATTAAAGATTCTTTTCCAGAAAAACATTCCCTATTGCCCCACTTTACTCCATATCTGGGGTAGCTTCCCCTTTTATGTATTTACAGAGTCCAGGGGTTTCTCTTATCATACTCATTTATTAATTCTAGCATCACTTTTTAGCAGTTAGTATAAAGACCTAGCTGTCTTATTCGCTCCTATTGCCCAAATACTTGACACAAAGTAGGTATTTCTCAAATATATATTGTATAAATAATAATGTATTATTATTATAATTATTAATAAACAATCTTAATATCCTTTAAACACTTTATGTTTACTCTTTTCATGGGTCCTGAGGAACTGATACTCTTGAGACAAAAGGTAGTCTCCCACCCCTATATACCTAAACAAAAAAATTCACTTTAAAACAGGTAAGTATGGTTTAGCTCACATAACAACAACAAAAAGTAGACATGAATAGTAAGTCTATGCCAAGGATTGTTCTAAATGCTTTCATTGTGCTCTCTATCTGGTCCCCGGTAAGAGGATTGCTCTCATTTCCTTTCAACGTGCACATTGCCACAGTGGTTCCAATTCAGAGCTAAAATCCAACTCAAGTTGAGTTATTTTGAAGCGTAGGCTTGTGCTAGTCTCCATGCTGAGGATCAGCCAAAATCTTCCTTACATATTGCTGGCAATGTGAACAAGAGGAAAAATGGAGGACCCACAAAAAGCATAGCCCTCAGAGTCAGAAGACTCGATCTCTAATCCTGCTTGGGAGCTTGGGCAAGCCATTTCATCTCTTAGAACAGGGAACATAGACATAATGTTTAAATAAAAAAAAAAGTCACTGCAGCCATTCTTTTATGTTACATGGTCCAAATGACACTATTCCAAATGCTCATGATTCCAACTGCATCAGGTTTCTCTGCTACGAAGTTCCCATTTGGGAGATGGGCTATGTGTGTCCACCCTGGGTTGCACTCTCATAACGTGTCTTCCCTGGACCAATTTCTGGACACTCTCCTTATTGCTTCCATTTTAAAAACAGTATTATTTATACCTTGTTGACTTTCACAATTCTAAAAGGCAAATATGCTTACATTTATGTATTCTCCCAATATCCTGCTAAGAGCTTTGTACAAAATAAGTATTTATAAATATTTATTGAGATACTACTTATTAGCAAAAATTCTTTGAGTGCTAATATGGGCTGAGAAAAATAATGACCGTCAAAATACATTTTGAGCTCTCATTCTAGTAGACAATCAGTAGTGAGAAAACAAAGCTTAAATGATGTTTGTATTTAAAGTATTAAAACACCCCCAGAAGCGATCAGATTTCTTGGTTTCCTGAAAGCTCCTTAGACTCTGTCATTTGGCATGTGGAAGCATTTTGCTAGGCAGGGTTTTCCTTGTTCTGCTGCGATAAGCCATAAAAGGGAAACTAGTTTGCTAGCACAATAAAACCCCTAACATAAACATCCTTTAAAGAATCTTCCATTTAATTGCAGAGGAATTATTTCAGTATTAAAATGGATTTTTTTTTCAATAAAAATGCTACAAAACTTCTGAAGTTCTTTATTTTCTCTAAAAGTTACTTATTCAAGAAGTTCAAGTTTGGTAGAACATAAGATAATTCCCTTCTTTGTTTGCAATGCTGACACAATAAAGTGAGGTACTTACCTCCCCTGTACACTGTACCCAAGTCTTGTGTGACCCTCTGTCAGTTTCAATGCCATCTCAAGGCTCCAGAATACACCATCACCACACACACCTTCAAGAAGGGAAAAGGCAGAAACAAGCAGCTTCTTTTGATGGAAACATTTTTGTCCCAAACCCATTCTTTACATAAAAATAATTGATTAATCAGTTATAGGTTTTAAATGCCACTTATTTTCAGAGTCATAGGAGGGGTTTGAAGCAGCATTTTAGGAAATTCAGTGGAAAAAAAACCAGGAATATGACAGCAGAAATAAAACACCAGGAGAAAGAAAGGGCAGAACATTTGCACGAGTTTTGCCAAATTAACTCACGCTTTTACGCTGTATAGAACAGAGATTTTCTGGCTTACATCACTGCAAATAAATAGTACGTCTCGGTGAAGAGGTTCTGACTTTCAAAACAAAACACAACAAAACAAAAATACTCTGAAACATCAAAGCTTGTTACTTAAAATACGAGAATAGGTTGTTTCCCATGCTAGTTCCTTGTTTTTTTTTTTTTTTTCTTTTCTCTTTTTCCTGTATTTCTTATACTAATGCTGAATTCCAGAAACCAATCTACACCTACAGAATAATGAACTTTGCACTTTTCCTAAAATGTTTGGGGAAAGAGGGCATTATTGTGTCTACACAGCCTATTTACAGCAAACAAACATGATGTCTGAAAAAATGCTTAGGTTTTGCATTTGGTTCGAGGTGATTCTGAATTTTGACTTTACTGATTATTTAATGTAGGGCCAGTCACTTTGTTAATGAGAATCTCAGTTTTCTTATTTGTAAAATATCATTAATAAACCATAAATATACACATTTTCCAGTGCTTAATAAATAGCAATTTCTATGTAAGAGCATCAGAGAAGAAGGCCACCTCTCCTGATTGGGGGGGGGGGAGCGCTGCTGCCTTTAATGATAGTACATGACACAAAGCAAGTTAAACAACAAAGGCCAGACAAATGAGCTACTGGTCTAAGGTTGTGAAACCAGACTCAGTGGAGGACTGTGGATTGTGAGGTCAATGTGAGACACTAGTTTCAGGAACATGGGAAAAATAAGTAGAAAAACAAAAACGAGGAGATGATGAGTTGTAAAAACTGTGTCTACTTCCTAATTTCACCAATTCTGACTCAATTCTGACTCTGTGACTTAGCTCCCTGGGGGGACAAAACCTTGATCTAATTGCTGCTTTCTGCCCTGGCCAGACGCGGTATGCCATGCTTACATAAGGGTGTGTTGATTGGTGCACAAGCCACTCCACAGCAGAGCAAACCTCATTGCTCTGACACTGCTTTCACCATAGTAGTCGGCTTTGATGTTCAAGTTCCTCTTTAACCAAATTATGAATGCTCTATTTCTCTCCATTGCCACCATAATGAACTTTAACAATTATACAAAGGAGCTCCTTGAAGTAGATTTTCTGTCTCCTTAGGTGCCTGTACTCTTCTGGATGCTGCTAATCCAGGAGAAAATGTGACAATATAGCTGGATGCAAAGATAACAGGAAGCTTCACCTGACTGAGAAGCACTGAGGAATGTAAGCGGCCAAAAAATAGTTAATGGGAGAGAAGCAGAGGGGATATACTTTTAATGAACATAGTATCTGGAATGTTTGGAATATAACATTTTCAATCTCTGCTTTATCTTTTCAAGTCTATGCGGTGTCAGATTCAAGCAGCAGATTTGTGCAAAGTAAATACGATTGGATACCATTAGCGTACGAAATTCCCCAACAGTCCCTGCAAAATGTTGTGTTATATCTTTCATGTGTATGGTATTCTACATGTTTTCAATCCACTTTCATGTGTCACACACAGATCTCTCAACAAATTAACAACTGACACAAGTATCTTTTTATTTTAATTTATTTATGTATTTATTTTTGAGATGGAGTCTTGCTCTGTTGCCCAGACTGAGGTGCAATGGCGCGATCTCGGCTCACTGAAACCTCTGCCTCCTGGGTTCAGGCGATTCTCCTGCCTCAGGCTCCAGAGTAGCTGGGATTACAGGCATGTGCCACCATGCCTGGCTAATTTTTGTGTTTTTAGTAGACACGAGGTTTCACCATGTTAACCAGAATGGTCTCGAACTCCTTACCTCAGGTGTTCCACCCACCTCAGCCTCCCAAAGTGCTGGGATTACAGGCATGAGCCACCGTGCCCAGCCCAAACACAAGTATCTTAATTGCCTATTCGAATGTTTTCCCACTATATCCCACTAGAGGGAGGGGGAAAAAAAGCACGAAATAACAAATAAATTGCTGTCAATTTTGATTGGCTTTATTTTGATGTGATTCATTAACATTTAATAAGAACTTAACATCTATTTTCAAAAAATAAAACAATACAATGATTAAGAGTTCATTCTCTATTGTCTTGGTCAAATTCTGTCATTTATAACGTAAATAATATTGACAAAGTCGTCTTTAGGATTCCTATCTTTAAAATGGAAGGAATGTTATCCACTTTAAAGAACAGTAATGAGGTTTAAAAGCATTGAACACAATGCCTGGCCTATATTAAGGGCTAACAAATGTTTTCTACATTACCATTTGTTGTAATTTATTAGAACTTACCACTCTTCCTTCTTCCTATTTTTTCTCTTTTTCTTTTCTTCTGCTTTTCCTTATTCTTCTTAACCATAAAAATTCAATAAATGGTAGATAATGCCAGGTAATTCTCTAAACGCTTCTTTTGTATTATCTGACTTAATCCTCACCACAATCTTATAAGTTAGTGCTATCATTATTACAATTTTATAAATGGAATAATTGAGGTACTAAAAAGGTTGCTTAACCTGGCTGATCACTGAGATAATGTTTTGTCTGAGATTTGTCTTCAGAAAGAACTATGTAGTCCTGCTCATAAGCACCATGCCATATTGCTTCTTACTTTAATATTTTTAACATCAGAGAAAGGTTTTATCTTAAGTTACAATGAAACATTAAAACCTCAGTGGAAATGAGATTTAGGGCTTTAATTTTTTAAAGGATTGAGAAAGAAAGGAAAAATCGTACGTACCAGCTTCATGGATGAGGTGAGATAATTCAGAGAAAGGATACTGAAAGGCTAGAACAAATGTCCCTGAGACTATCTGTGTCTGGTGCCTTCCCTATAAGTAAAGGCAACACACTCTGTCCAGACAAACCCACTTGACTCAAGGTTATAACTATAAAACAAGACTCCACAACAACGTAGCTGTCAATGTCCTTCCTTCTTTCGGTCAACCTCTTGCAATCCTGCAAGTGTGAGTTTTGCTTCAGCACCTGCTTCAGTCTATGGAAACCGTCTCCTCCAAGCTCTGCCTCTCACTGATTGCTCTGTTTTCATGGAAGTCCAGATGGCTGCTGGAGGTTTACTTGAGGTCTCCTTCTGTAGGATATAGATATACCTTTGTCAACTCAGTGGTACATAAGTTTGTTCACTCTAAAAGAAGTTGCCTTAAAAAAAAAAAAAAAAAGCTTTCAGATGTTGGAGAGAACTGAGATGCTGACGTCAACACATGACAAAGTAGATGCCTAACAATGCAAGAAAAATTATGGTATAGATTTTAACATAATTATCAATACATTCCTTTCAGCTATTTTCTCATTTTAATTGCATACAGTTTATGTCTTTGTTTTATACAGCTTTATTCGATGAAAAGAGAATGGAAGCAGCAAGATGAAAATGAAAGAATTATGCAAAGGAATGGAAGCCTTGCCAAATACAGAATTTGTGGTTTCTACTTTGTGCATGATTTATGCACAATTACATTTTTCAATGTATTATCCTGCAAGCTACTTTGCTGTATAGTCCTGGTTTGTCTTTCTGGTGTCTATGTTTGGATTGAGACAAATATGCTTCTTTTGTTTTCATTCTTGAAGCCAATAACTTTTTAGAGAGATGTGGAATTTCTTTATTTTAGATTAAGCACTATCCATAATTCCTTGTATTACATTTGGCTTGATGTTGAAGAACTTTGTCACCACTCTGGTTGGTCTCCTCCAAACTTTTGCCAAGAATAAAAGCAGATTCACTTCAAAAGCTGATCTTTTATGTTGCTCAAGATTAAATCCAGAATTTAGTTGGTTTCTGCCTTAGCTTGGTCAACAGATAAGGGGCCAAGACTGGAAAATTGGTTGTACCCCTAAGAGACATGGATAGAAAAAAAGGCTGACGAGTTTTTAAGGTACAAACAGAGATCATCACAGCACATTTCACCACCTAGATTAAATAACTACTAGGCTGAAGATGGAAGGTAAAAGATAAGTCACATATTGAGCAAAGAGATGTTACCCCAAAGTCAAAGGAACACATATATGAGGAAATGGACAAATACAAGCAGGCAGACAATCATGATTAGGGATGATATGTCAACAGGAAATGGGATCCAGCCATCAGGCTAAGCTTTATTGCTACAAGTCAGGTGATTACGATCATAGCAGAACTACAGTTCTAGAGGATCCTAAATATGCATGTTGCCAAATTGGCAGAGAGGTGTAGTGTTTGGCGCTGGGTTGTAGTGCAAAACTCTGTTACCAGCAGTCTTACTCATGGAGGTAAGAGAGGGAATTAAGGTATGTGAATGAGGAAGACTGGTGTTTAGGACAGGAAAACATCAATAGGTTTAGATGAACAGTAATTCGGGGAGGCATGATGGAACCATATAATGATCCCCAAAGGGCTTGGATACGTCATATCTCATGTCAGTATCAGCCTTGGTGTTTGGAAGAGAAGAAGCATAAATGATAGGATTTAGTAGGCCCACTGGGAATTTTCTAATGTTTATCTTCTACCTTCTAGAGTATGAAATCATGACAGAAAGTATAAGCAGTTGTCTGACATTCAATTATTAGCTCAAAAAGGAAAGCAGAAACTAATGCTCTCTAATCATACTTTATATCACAAATGTGAGATGATTATAAAACATGCGACATCCATTTTCTGCATGGACAGCCTATGGAAGTTTAACAATAGTATGTCTGCTCCTTTTTTCCTTTACCTAAGTCCATGTGATTCAAATGTCCTTACCCTCCAGTTCATAAATGTCCTTACCCTCCAGTTCATTAATGTAAATACTCTCTACATCTTCTTCATCTCTATTAATAATTTTTCTATCTTAGTTATTAAGATAGACTTTATTGCAAAATCGATGAACGCATCTTTTGGTGCATTGCCTAAGATACTGGCTGTCAAATCCTTCTTTCCAGGTATTTTGTCCCATTAAAATCACTGAAAAGATTCTGTATGTTTTTTTTCCTCATGCTTTATGGTTTTGTTCTGTTTTATTTAGAGCTCCAAATCATACAGTTAACCTTTGTGAAAACTATTTCTTTTCTGTATTTAACATAATCCAGCCTCTTAACTTAGAGATGAAGGAATCAGATCTATCCTAAATTTCACCAGAAATTAAAGGAACAGGAAATAGGGTTTATAATCTGAGAGGCCTACACTCATTCCTGGGTTATACCTTTAGAAGTGAAGCTCAGGCAAAGATATTTTCTCGAAATTCCCCAGATAATTCTAATGTTAAATAACCACTTAGGTTTATATCTATTCTTAATTTTTCCTGAATATTCTTAGGCTGAAAGGAAGATCTTTATACCTTTAGCTAAAAAGATCAATTGAGTCAATGTAAGAGAAGGATAGTACTTCAAAAATTCAGTAATTTATGAACAGACCTTCATACTTAGTAATTTATGTTGGAAAATGACACGTAACATTTATGTGTATGTATATATATATGTGTGTGGGTGGGTGGGTATGGGTGAGTGTATGAGTGCATGCGCTCACACCTGTGTATGTGAATGTTAATTATTTCAAACTTGCTTAGCAAACTACTACAAGCAACCATTTTTTAAGTTGGTTATGAGTAGGCAAGTGCTACATTTAGAGATATGCAGCCAACAACCCCTCACATCAATGTGTTGCGATTCTGTTGTTTCTCCATTTCCCACTGTAGTATTTAGACTGACTATTCACAACACCTTCTTTAATTGTTGTCCTTAACCACAGATGTTTCATTTTCTTGGGTCACAAAATTGGTATTTCAGTATCAAAGATCTGACACACAGCAACTCCAGAGGAGAGATGGAATATTTAGATTGGGACTAACTGTGGTATTGCAGGTTGATAAGAAAATTGAACTCTATTTGTCCCATCCCCCTCTCACCTTTTATTTCCCAATGCTTTTCTCCTAAAATTGTCATGCAGAAAATGCACCAGATAAGACCTCTTGCAAGACTCTACACTAAGACCCCAAAAACAGAAAGTGTGCTCAAGAAATGGGCTGATGTCTCTGGCAGCAAGATGTGCATAAGAAATTATGACCAATTGCAGACAAGAGCTCAGGTATCAGCAGGGTGACCATGAATCATAATTTTATTAGTAAAACCTCACTTCAATAAAAGAGTAACTGATTCACATGTATTTGTGTTAGATTTACCTTCGCACCAGAGCAAACACAATAGTAGGAGAGAAAAATGGACACAAAAAATTGCAGTGCACAGTGAAAAGACCAATAATAGCATGGACCCAATTCAAAAGTTAAAAAAAAATGTAGAAAATATTTGGGTATACAATTTCAAAAGAAACTCAGGGTGTAGCATTTTTTTAAAGAAATAATTGTTTTCCCAAGTTTATTTCAAATGGACAAGAAATAGAAAAATACTGATATAAAAAAATAAAGTCGAAATGTTCGTTATCATTACTGCCTTTATTTCTGCAGCAGGTCATATGATTGTACCTTGTTCTTGGCCTGGTGGTGTTACCCAAATCTTTAGTGCTGGAAGATTACGGCTGTTATACATTCTGCTTAAACTGTGTTACTGTAGTTTTCCATTGCTTTTAATTACTGGAAATAACCGTACCAAAAGATGCTCTGAAGAATCTTCTATATTCCGGACACACTGTACCTTAAACTTACTTGTGATAGATAGCAACTCAATTTTCCTCTGATAATCAGGATCAATTACCTCTGCCAGTAGAGTAACTCATTTATTTGCCTGTTTATTCAGAGGTATGAGGAGCCCAAAATGTCCAGGTGTCAGTCTCAACTTTTAGTTCAATAAATTTATTGTTGTATAGCAGTCTTTTCTTTGTTAGTAATACCTTTGCACCAGGAGAGCATATGTAAAGGAAAGAGGAGACAAATTTTAAACTATTAAATAAACACCAATGAAAATGTGTTACAAAATATTTATAAAATATAAATGTTATTCAAAAATAAAATATAAAATATTAACCATGCCTCTTCAATTCCCTTTGATTAATCTTATCATGACATATGTATTTCTATCCTTTTACTTTTAAGCTATTTAGGTCCTTTTACTTACAGTGTCTTTCAACCAGGTTCCATTAACTTTAATTTACATTTTTTATTCAGTATTACAATCTCTGCCATTACTTTAGACCAATTATATTTAATGTAATTATGAATATACTTTTTTAATTGGCCCTCTTGCTATCTGCTTTTGTTATGGTCTGCTTTTTTCTTTTTCTTTTTTTTTTTTTGCTTCCTTTTTCTTCCCTGCAGAATATGAAATTAACTGGACTTTGCAAATCATGACATAAGTTGGCCATGCACTGAAACAAGGGATTGCTAAGGTAAGAAAGCTTTGAGCGTGGAGAAAGTCAAGTTCTTATTCAATTAATGAACTCATATAGGAGTTGAATTGCATAAGAGCTGCCCATGTGATACTCAGGTAGTGATGGCTGTACGAAGTCAGAGTGTAACCAAGATGTCTGAGCTTGATATTTTGATTTGAGGGTCCACATGGTTTGAGGAAATACATGGTAGATGTAACCATGGATGGGCAACATATAAATGCCATTTTCTTTGCAAAATATGTAGAGAGAAGAGCAGAAAAAAACAGAAGGACTTAAATTCCTACATATAATTTGAGTATGATTAGAATACATGAATGGTGAGAGAATACATCAAGAGATGTCTAGAAAGGTAAAAGGAGAGAATACTAATGCAAATATAAGGGAGAAAAAAATGGAAAAGAAGATATTGGTCTGTAGTATCAAATATTGTTCTAGAGCAATAAGGACTAATATCTTTGGATTGAGCAGTTATCTCAGCAGTAAGAGCATCATCTTATCTGGATGGACATCTCATTATAGGAGTGGAGGAGGAGGATTGTAAGATCAAGAATTTATTGAGTACGTGGGACAAAAGTCAAAGGGATACAGCAGTTGTATGCCTGTCAGGTTCAGCATAGCACCCTTGGTCATGATGAACTCAGATAAACTGGTTACTGGCCAGAAAGGCTGGTAACATTAGGGTTGATACTGAAAGTTCAATTTAAGATGAAATGATGAGGGTGAGATTTAGGGTGAGATCTTCATTTTAAGATTTAATTTGTTTGCAACAAACAGTGCTAACATGTTTTTGTTTATTTTGATTAGGTGGAAGCTGCAGTCTACATAGACTTGATTCAGCCATCTTAAAGCTGCAGAGTCTCAAACGCCTAACATTAGATTCACTTCACACAGTACCTCCTGACTATTAAATTAAAAAGATGAAAGGAGGTAACCTGGGATGAGGGTGAGGGCTTCAAGTGAAGAGAGGGGGAAAATTTGTGTAAGTAATTCTGACGCTTATTCCTTCAGCTCATGTAATGATGGGGGAAGTACTTTATGAATTCAGATAACCCTTTTACCCCTTTTTGTCAAAAAAAAGAAGTGGATGAGTGAGAGTAAACACATATCACAGAGGTTTTTATTCATCAGAGAAGTTTCCAGGAGGGAGCAACCAGTTGTCCGAATTTATTGTCAGTCATGCGGATAATGTTCTGAAACAAGTAAGTAATGTTTAGTCACTATTTTAGACATGTCACTGTAAAATGTGAATTCTGGTTCAAGTACACATCACACCCCATTCACTTCTGTACCCCAGGAGCTTTCTTATGATTAATGTTATTCCCAGGATTGCCAAAGGATTAATAATTAGCTACCTATAGCCAGAAACACAGATAAGCTACCTGCTTTCCCTTCCCAATTCATTTCCTTCCTTTGTTTAATCACACAATGAAACAATTATCTTCCATTTGTGACATCGAAATCACTCCCATAGCAACAGGCATCTCCTTCTAATACTTCAGTGTGGGAAGAATCAGAGAGCAGATATGGATTTCTGAAGGA